GGGCTGGGGTCCCAACGCCAGGGCGCCGGCCCACTGCTTCCTCTCCCCGCTCCAGTCCAGAGCCCGTGCGCGCCGCTGATGAACCCCTTCTGGCAGGAGAACGTGACGGTCAGCGACTCTAGCCGACAACTTCTCAGTGAGTCCGGGAAGAGGGTTTGCAGGGAGACCCCGGGGCTGGCCACCAGTTTGGGAGCCCCTCTCCCACAGGCGGACCGGGGCGGGGCGGGGCGGAGTGGGCGGGAAGAGGGAGTAGGGAGGGTCTCTCTGGCTGCACCTGGAACGGGGTGCGGTCTAGGATTCATTCGACAAACGCTGACGACAGGCTTTCTGTGCTCCAGGCAGGGTGCTGAGGAGTAAGACCCAGGCCTGCCCTCCAGGAGCTCGAAGACCCGCTGGGGAGACAGATGGGGGAACTCGCAGTTGCATTTTAGAGTGACTGCGGCATGAGGGAGGGCGGGTGATCCCCGGAGACACCTACACCAACTGGGGAGCTGAATGCCCAAAAGAGAGCAGGTCTGATCAGACCACCAGGCGCACCCATGTCAGCCTCATTTGTATCCTCACTGTTGAAGATACAAAAGCGAGGGAGGACTTCTGCCGCCTGGGGAGGGAGGTGGGGAGTTGAGGAGGACTTGCCTGGCTGTGGCCGGATGGAATAAATACTTGCTGAATGATTCAGGGAAGGCAATTCGGAGGCAGAAAACAGCCCTCTCCCTCCAGGGGCCATGGTGTCTGCTTTGGTCATGGCTGATTTCCCACATCACAAGGTGACCTGGTACTTGTAGCAAGGGAGAGGGCCAGCCCTATCGTAGATAAAGGCCCACCATCTCTTATCACAGTGCCCAGCATAGTGCCTGGAGTGCAATGAAGGTGTAAGGACGGAATGCAAGAAGGCAGACAGGGGCCGAAAGAACACTTGTGGAGGGAGGGTGATAAATGTAATAGTTCAGCTTTAGCGGGCCAGACACGGAGCCAAATGCTGCCCATCTATGTCGCCATTTAATCCCACAGCCTCCATTTCCATCTTCATTTTTGCAGCAAAAAACTGAGGCCGAGAGGTGCCCGAGAAAGGATCTGATGAGGCAATGAGGACTGAGTTCCATAGACCTTGCAAAATGTGGGCCGTTTTTGATAGACTTACTGAGGTTTGTCCCTAACACGGCCCACCAGGCTGCCAGGGTCCCTTTCCAATTCCATGGTCCCCTTTGCTCTTTTCTTTCTAACTATGAACTATGCTGGCCTTGGGCCTGTCCTGAGACATGCCAAGTTTCCTCCGGCCACAGGGACTTTGCACATGCCATATCCTGGACCTGGAGTCTGTCTGCTCCTACTTGCCAGCTTGGCTTGGTCAAGCTTCTACTCCTAATACAGGTTGTGTGACCTTTTGGGGGTTAAAATCTGATGCCCTCATTAGACTGTGAGCTCCATGAGGGCGGGGACCATGCCTGTCTGGCCACTGCGGAATCCCCAGTATTTAGCACAGAGGTTGACATGGAGTAGGCCATGAAGCAAGGTTTTCTGAGCAGGTATGAGAGTGAATGCAGACTATAGGTTAGAGGTGGAACTCAGTATATATTTGTTGAATGAATGAGTAAATTAAAGAACCAGAACTGTTTCTCTGTAGTCCAGCGGCTTGCTAGGAAATATTTAACAACTGGCTCTCTGGGGGAAAGGAGTCTTGATTTATAGCGTTTGCCAATTTCTGTGGTGTAAATATTTCCAGTGTGGTCAATTTCTAGCTATCAACATGATGTTAACGGGCTCATCCCTAAAATGTAATAGTTGGGTCTTGTGAGCTGATATGACCCAGTTCCAGCACACCACTGCATGAAGTCCCACCGAAGGAGACATCCTCCAGACACCAGGAATATGTGAGAAGTTGACAAAAGATGGAGGTACCAAGGACTCTGTCCTCAGCCCCAAGCTGGACCAGGAGGAACTTTTGGGTGTTCCTGGAGCATTGTTTCAAGAATAATCAAGAGTTCCTGCCCTTGAAGTAAGGGAGTTAGGGTTCAAATCCCAGCTCAGTCCCTTACCAGGACCCTCTGTGAACCTGGGATAGGTGTCTTAACCTCTCTGAGCTTCTCTTTCCACTTCTTTGCTGGGGTCCAACCCCAGCAGGTCTAGGGGTCCCCAAAGGTGTGGATGGAGTTGGCGAAGAAGGAATGACACAGAGACAGTGTTCAGTTGATCAGCAGCCTAGCCAGGATCTCTAGCCAAGTTCTGGTCAGCATCTCCAGTGAAGTTCTGGTTAGGATCTCCAGCCAGGTTCTGTGTCCATGTTTTCTTGCTAGGTTCTCCAGCCAGGTTCTCCAGGTTCTCCAGCCAGGTTCTGTAGCCATGTACTCTCACTAGGTTATCCATGTACCTAAGCATGATTGTTCGTAGTTAAAGTGATTAATTACCCGCCTGGCAGTTAAGAGGTTTTATTCCCTCCCTAACTTCAGGGGAAAATCCCTACCTGGGGAAACAACCTCTCTCAGAGAGGTGACCTTGGTTAAAACACATAGCGCCAAGAAGGTGAGCAAACATTAAGAACAGTATGTCATATATGCCAGGTCCCTTGAAACATATGCTGTGCAGATGTTTCTTCCCTGCAGCGACTGTGTCAAGCAGCAAGGATGGACCAACTCCCGGCACTTCTTTCAAAATGAGATGTCAAAACCATGAGGGGGTGTGGTCAGGCTCCCACGAACTAGCTGGATGAAAAATATATAACTTTACCTTGCACCTCACATAGGGCCTGGTTATTGTGGGGTGTCTATGCTGCATGAAAGAATGATTTCATCTAGAAGTGCTAGGCACATAATACATGCTCAGTAAAGGCAAGTCCTCTTGACCATTTCTCCAGCCTCTTTTAGATGTGGCCTCATCTATGGAGTGCTGATCCTTTGCTGGGCTGGGTGCTGGCATTCTGCCTACTGAACACATCTATGGGTAAATTGGGTGGCACTGGTCTGGCTTTTTTTGTGAAACTTGATGATGCAACACCCCTGTGTGCTCCAGGACTTTAAGAAACAGGCAAAACTCAAATCCAGAGTCTGTTCACCTGTGCACCCTCTGACCTAGGTCTAACCCTCAGCCTCACTGCCAACTAGGTGTGTGACCTGGTCAAGCCTCCATACCTCTCCTGGGGAAAATGAGCATAACTGTCATCTCTTTTCATAAGGATATGCAAGGGATGAAATGGGAGAGTGTTTTTAAAGAGCCGTAGGCAGTGCCTGGCCTTGTAAGTGCCCCTTAAGTGGTAGCTGCTATTATTACCATTATGTCACCCATGGAAGAGGGCAGGGTGCCCTTCAGACTGTGTGCTTGCTGCAGATCACCCCTGGAGACAACTTTTCCCAGAATCTTTTTATCCCCAGAATGAATTTTGAATCTTGTCCAAGCTCTTTGATGATGTGAAGATATTCTATTTCTTTAAGGACCCGCTGCAGAGGCCATGAAGAAGAGAGGCTAGTTGTCAAGGCAGCATGTTTTCTGGGTCAGCTTCTTGGCCAAGCTCTAGTGGGGGAGTATGGGAAGGAGCTTGGATTTGTCCTCCAAGAAAAGCCAAGCAGGCAGGGCCTGGAATAATTTTTGGTGAAGAGAGGTCATCTAATTCAGCACAGTGGAGATAAAAGAGCCACAGTCTAGTTGTATCAGCCAGGAGTCTTGATGGCAAGTGACAGAAACTCAAATCGTACTTGTTTAAACTTGCTTCCTAGTCCAAGTAACTGGAAAGCTCCAGCCTTCTGGCATCCAGAGAACTGAACTCAATTTCTTTCTTTTCCTCTCTGGGTTTTGCTCCTGTTTGGGTTCTGTTTTCAAATCCTCCCCAGTCTTAGCAACCCCCAAAAAGGGAGACTTTCTATTTCTTAAATAATTCTGCAAAACCTTCAGATAGGCTTCTCTTTGGACCAGACGAGATCACATGCCCAGGTCTGAGCCAATCACTGTGGTGGAGGGGATGGGTTGTGCTAACTGGCCCTGAGTTACATGCTACTTGTCGGGAGGGACCGGGTCAGCCCTATCATAGACAGAGGCCCACCTCTTATCAGCTGTGTGACTTCTGGCAAGTCACCTGCTTCCTTAAACAGGCTGCTTTGAGATGAAATGAGGTCACCTAAGCAAAGCACCCAGCTCAGAGGGCACTGCTCACAGTAGGAGCACAATTAATATCTCCTCCTCCTCTAAGTCATATTGCTTCCCTTAGCTGCAGGCTTTTCATCTGTAAAATGGAGCTTTTACAACCATCCCAAGAAGCAGGTACTATTGTTATCATCTTCACTTTTCAAACAGGAAACCAAAGCACAGAGAGGTTAGGTAAATCACCAAAGTTTGCACAGTAACGGGAAGATCTGGGATTTGAACGCAGGCAGTTTCTAACCCTGTTAGAATGATGCCACACCAAATATAATTTCAGTATCACATGAGTGTACTAAGACCGGAGGCCACATCAGCCCAGAGGAGGGGCTCCTGGCCTTTCTTGCGTTTGGAGTCCTGCTGTGCAACTCTGCCTCCTCCAGACAGGCAACCAGGGATGAGGAGGAGTAGTTGGTGCAGGGGTGCGAGGCAGGACAGAGCGCAGCGTGTTCCAGACACAAATGGAAGTGCCTCTGGGGTGCACCTCAAGTCCTCCCCGTGTCTGACCTCCCTGTCACCTTCCAAGAGCCCAGGAAGAAGGTCAGGCTGGTCATCCCCCAGACAAGCACCCCAGACCCAGAAAGGTCAGTGTCTTGCCCAACACAGCAAACCAGTGGCAGAAGCTGGACCGAGGGCTAGTGGCCTGGCCGGCCATCCTCTGAGGAGGCAGGCTGGAAAATGACAAGATTGGTTTCCAGCAGGAGAGGAGGTGGTGGGGACTGACTCAGAGAAAGGATTGGGACATACCGATGTCAAGAGGCTCTCTGGGCCCAGGACAGAACTTTCATGTGATGTATGCATAGCAGGGAAACAGCACGTGCCTGGGGTCTGAGCTCCTCCAGGCATAGAGCCCCAGGCTTCAGGTGCCCCGTGAAAGTCAAGCACACATTCTAAACTAAAAAACCTCACATTCAAGTAATTCCACTTCTTGGGGGTTTGCCATATCATTTTTGTAACATTGAAAAGCAAGACTCAGCTGCAGTGCCTATGAGTGGAGTCATGGCTAAGCAT